ACCCCAAAAGTCAATTCCAGTATACCTTAATGCATTATTTCAGTAGTATTTGAATGTCACTCACAAGGGGGAGCTAATGCTTTATTGTTGTAATAATTAATTTTGTAATACACTGTGACAAAGCCAACTAGTTTTAAACATAATGCAAAAATGTGGTTTGGCCTCTGTTTTCCAGTACTGCCATGTTTTGTGTGTTTTGGTTGGTTTTTTCTGACTTTATGTTTTTAATCACATGTAAGCTGCCCAGAGTTCAGACTGATAAATCAGATAGACTGCTAGCTCTCTAGCTTTAGGTTTAAAACTAGCTGGCTTTGTCACAGTGTATTACAAAATTAATTATTACAACAATAAAGCATTAGCTCCCCCTTGTGAGTGACATTCAAATACTACTGAAATAATGCATTGCATTAAGGTATACTGGTATTGACTTTTGGGGTTTTTTGCCTGCCAAAATGCCCACCAATGAGCTTTGTTGCATTAAGGTATACTGGTATTGACTTTTGGGGTTTTTTGCCTGCCAAAATGCCCACCAATGAGCTTTGTTGCATTAAGGTATACTGGTATTGACTTTTGGGGTTTTTTGCCTGCCAAAATGCCCACCAATGAGCTTTGTACCTCCATTTATTTTGTCCATCTTGTGCCTTTTCCCCTGCCAAATAGGTTAGGGTTAGGGTTATCAATCAATGGTTGACAGTTACCTCTGCAAATTTATGTACCCGTGCTATAATCACAGCAAGGAGATCACACCAATCGATTATGTCCATAGCAGGCAAAACTTTTATGGAGATGAGATTTTAATACTAGTGGCGGGCAAAAAAGGAACAAGAGCGTTGGAATCTTTTAAATTAATCCCAACTAAAAAGGGATTTTGGAGGGGGATGGGTGGGAGGAATGAGTTTTAATGCTGCATCTCTGTAGATCAGTGTTTCTCAACCTCAGCCACTTTAAGGTCTGTGGACTTCAACTCCCAGAATGGGCTCATCCAGTGCTCTGGCCTAGTGCAGTAGAAAAAAATCAAGCTTTCAAGGCTTTAAAGAAGGCCATTGGGTTCAGGACTATCTGAATCTCAGAGGGAAAAGCTGTGTGACTCATGAAAAAGCTGATGAAGAAAGTTAGTAGCTATAATGAACCTCTAGAATCATAGAGCAGGAAAAGGCTCTTTTAAGCTTCCTGGGAATCTTGGTCTTTCAAGATTGTAGCCTAGATTTTCAGCTGTTTTCTCTTCACCATCACTCTTATTTTTTGCAGAACACATTTGGTGGAACTGCCTGTGAAAAGTGTGCAGAAGACAATCTTTTTGGACCTAACTGTACTTCAGGTACATCTAGTGTGGGCTCCCTTTTAAAAACAGAATATAATCAAATCTCAAATTAAAATGGTACGATTGTTTCCACGCAAAAGATTGCACAAGGTCTTGTGTGGCAATATAAAAATGGGGCATTATCCAAAGCAAATTGGTTCTTCTTATCTATGTCACATGCAACTTAATAGCTATAATTTAGCAAAACCTTTGTACAGGGTAGTCTTTGATATTCATGGGAGTTTCCTTCTGGCCTAACAAAACCACGATAATGAGACTTGGAAAATGCATAAAAGCCTATTCACCATTTTGCACATGTATGAAATTTAAAAACACCTATAAAATTCCTCCTTCAAAGAGAATTATGCAGTCAAAACCCAAATCAACAAAACATTTTACCACCATGATACCAACCAGGTAACCAGCCATATATATACAAAATCACAGGTACTGAAACCAAGGTAAAAACAACAATCTGTAGTCCTACACAGCTGAGAGTCTGTGGAATCTGAATGGTAGGACAGTTCATAAAACAACTTTTGGCTTCTTTCTTACAACCAGGAATTCCTGAGAAGTACATCTATAAACACAAATTCTCCCCAAATTAATGCTTAGCTCAGCTGGTTTCATGTGTGAGGTTCCAGGCATATACTGCATGTTAATTTTGGGATAATGTTCATGTACATCAGATGTTCTAAAAAGAAAGATCATCAGTAGAACTAGATCAGCAAGGATTTCTGGTTCCCCAAAATTTAACAATTATTCTTTAAAACATGTCTATATGATTTCCTATTAAAAGAAATCTCAAAATGGTTTATTATTAAATAGTGCATTTACAATTTAAAAATGGGTCATGTTTATTAATTAGAAGAATTAATAAAACATACTTTAAGAAGTTTTATTAAAAATATAGTGTAATACAATACAAAATAACATCAGCAAGACAAGCATAAACGCAGCAGAAAGTTGCAGCAGCAATAAAAAAAAGTTTAAAATCACTACAGATAAATGCGCACATCAGTTGATTGTTGACAATGTATTTCTGAAACTCTGTTGTCTAGTTCTAGTTGTTTATATTCAAATGTCTTATCTTTATAATAATGCAGCTATATGTGTAGAAGACCTCACGTTGGAGAAGGTTAATTTACTGCTTAACTAAACAAAACTGCAAGGCACTGACCTTGGCATCTTTTGTATGTAAAGCATATGCCCTACCACTGAACTATAGCCCTTCCTTCCCATCCAGTCCTTTCTTTAACTACACAGGAAAGTTTTGCAAGAATTAAACCACTGTAGCTCTGCACGCACCAACGTTTTCTGAGATGCTTGGGTAGAGCAATGTTTCCTGTAGATAGCTTCTGCTCTTTGCGTAGAGGGAAACAGCAGCAATCAGGTTATTAAGTTAGTGGCTGTGGATGTGCTGAGAACGTATTGAAGACATTTCCTACAGATATTTCCTAGGCAATCTTTCAGTCATTTACTTTTAACGAGTATATGAAAAGTATGGAGGCCAAGAGTCAACAGAATTCCCAGCCTATATTGCTATATTGCTAAAGTTGTTTGTAGTCTGGGAGTTGTTGTCTCAAAGATTCTGGAAAGAGCCAAGAGGATGCTTCCTATATGAGATCCAGTTTTGTGATTACCATTAAAAGGAGGATGTGTTTCCCCCAGCCCAGTGATATGTTTAAGGATAAGATATTCAGCAACACCAACAACCACAAAACTTTATTACAATCAGAGTCTAGAAATCATGCAAAACAAATATACATACCAAAAGTACAGTAACATGATTCTTCTTACCCTATTGTATACAGTGTACCCTAATTGCCAAAAAAAATCCCAGAAAACTTTACTATTACATAAGCAATTTCAACAAGTGCCTAGGTGTTTTTTCCCTAACATCCCTAACTGCAGGTAGTTATTTATTTGTTTGTTTGTTTATGATTGCATTTTCTAAGACTCTCCAACAATTTTAGGGGTTACAAAGGGTTAAAAAATACAGTGCATTAAAATCAATCATTAAACATTGACCATGCTTGAGGGGGGGGGGGAACCCTAACAATTAAACAATACAGATTTGTAAATGCTTGGGTGAAAAGCAGCAATTATGTAACTTAACATAATGCAGGCTATTATGATGGGCCTTCATGAAACCTATGAATGAGTGATGGACAATCTTTCTGAGCCTGCCGACTGCTTAAAAAGGTGTGGAAGGACTGGGGTAAAAGATAAATAACCGTGTCACAGAAGTAAGTGGGATAGAGGAGAGGTTTGAGTACTCGCTGGGCCGTTTGTAGTCTGAGGTATGCTAAGCTTATCTGAAGGCTGAGTACACCTTAATTATTTCTTTGCCTAAATAAGATGCAAAATTTGCCCCCACTGTTTAAGTAATTTGCTACCAATATTTAGTAACCTGTTTGAGGAGGCTTAGGAGAAGACAGGATCAGAAGTGGCCCAGGGGCTACCTTCTTCGTCTTTAATCTATCAGGAAACTCAAGTCAAGCTAAGGCAAAAGAAAAGTTTATGTATACATATGTGTATGCATGTGTGTGTATTTTTGTACACACACACACACACACACACATGCATACACACATACACACATACATACAAATAGTCCCCAGTTTAAGAATAAGTTCCGTTCCCAAGGTCTGTCCTTAAGTTGAATTTGTACATAAGCCAGAATAGTATTATTGTATAATACTGTATAAGTAGTATTGTGTAATTAACTTGAACCACTGGGTATTTAATTAGAATCATTGGGTATTTAACTCAAATTTTGCTGCAATAGGCTCTGTTCTTAACTACAAGTCATCCTTAAACCAGGCTTTCTTAACCCGGGGACTATATATATATGTATATATATGTATATATATGTATATATATGTGGGTGGGTGGGTGTGGGTGTGTTATATTAATATTTTCTGTCCTTATTAGCTATGGAGCAAAATGTACATCTCAAATATTACAGACTCCACTAAAGGGTTCCTTCCTCCTAGCATGCAGCTGCATTCATGGAATATGCAACAGTGGGGTAACTGGTGATGGTCAATGCCTGTGTCTGTCTGGATACAAAGGTCCTCGCTGTGATCAACGTAAGTAACACCTTTCTGGGCATGCACACATCTTTTTATTCATGTGAATAAATGAGACTCATGTGAATGAAGTCATCATGTAGTGAGAAGCCATTCAAAAGACAATAAATGTATCATGAACTGTTGAAAAGGAGTTCCCTTCTTAAAGTCCTGTTCAGACCAGTAGTTTTCCACCACATTTCCTGCTAATTAAGTAGCAGGAGCAACATGTAGAAGGAAGGTGATTAGGGTCAAAGATCAAGAGAAGTATTGCTAATGCACCTCATCTCATGTAATAGAAGGGATTAGGACTTGTGTTTCTACCTAACAGTTCAGAAAAAGAATTTTTCCTGTGATTAATTTAGATAAAAATCATCATTTGTCTTATGTCTTGGTTACTGGCATGCCTTTTCCTAATATCAGAGCTCTTCTACTTCTCCACCTCCACTCTCCCATTCCTTCTGCAGTTTGAAAGTACCACTCTATTTTTATTTTTTTGATAGTGTGATATGTGCATGGTTATCCATGTACATGTGCAAACCATGGAAAAGTTAGCACATATTCTTAAGCCACAAGCAATACTGATCTCCTAAAAACTGCATATCTATGAGGAAATACTAATGATGATAGGTAAGTGAAATAATAATGGAATTAGAAATGTTATGCAGGGTTCTCCATGGGAATACATTACATTTTTACCATTTTTTTTCTTTACCTTTACCTTTATTTTTATCTATTAAGTGACCATAATTCTTATTTGCCGCCTTGTATCTTGGGTTCCTTCATATATATGCTCCAAGGTTATAAGTGTATGGCTTGGTCTGTCAGAGCAATGTATGATGCCACACTGACTTCTTGGTTCAACAAACATTGATGTGTTTGAACTAGAGTTCACTGGATTTAGATGAGAATTCTGGGAATGGCAGTAGTTCCTACACATTTAGAAAGAGACCAAATTAGAGAAAGCTAGTTTAAGAATGACTTATATTTTTGTCTTTTTTCTGCTACCACCAGGTACAACCAAGTTTTTGAAAGGCAGCTGAAGTTGTTGAAGTTGTAATACTTGAAGAGATGTGTTGGTTTGCTTAGCCTTGTAGCTTAGTATAGTAATCTCAGCCTATTGGATATTCTTTGTCTTTCCAGCAATACCAGAATGCAAAGCCTTAGAGTGCCCAGAAAATTCCAGATGTTCTGTATCAAGTGTGGACAAAAACCAACTGGAATGCAAATGCCTTCCCAATTACGAAGGCGATGGCAAGCAATGTAAACGTAAGTAGCAGCCAACCCAAAAGAGCTCTTTATTTTAGTTTTAACTGAGTGGTGCTAGTTTAATATCACTACATAGGATGATGATTTCCAGGCTCCCAACAATGCAGAGTATTCATTGAGCATTCATTCATTCATTCATTCATTCATTCATTCATTCATTCATTCATATGCTTATTTATTCATTCATTTAATACTTTACCCACCACAAAGGAGAGATGCTCCACCACCAAAATGTGAGGATGAGTGGCAAACAAGACTAGCCCTATCACTAGGCAGAATAGGAGCATCTTCTCGTCCTTTGCCTCAGGCAATAACATATCCTAGGCCAGCTCTGGTGGCAAGGATGGCCTTTTTGCTCCACCCTCAATGAATCCAGCAGTAACTTAACACTTATTTTATTTCACTGGATTTCAGATCAAGTGCCAAATATGATAAGATATAATTTAATCATGGCACAATGATACAGATCAATGATATTTGGACAAATAAAAACAATGAGCATAATCCATGCTTGCTTGAGCTCTTATTTTGCTGTGTTTGTATCATTATTTCCTCCCCAAAGCTATCAATCCATGCTCCAAAATGGTTTGTGATCCTCATGCTGACTGCCTATATCTTGGACCCAATCATCATAACTGTACGTGCCAATATGGATATAAAGGCGATGGCCAAGTATGCGTACCAATAAATCCTTGCCAAACAAAATATGGTAACTGCCCTACAGACTCCACAGTCTGTAAATATGATGGCCCTGGAAAGGTAAGTATACAAACTGGGCTGAACTGGGGAAAATAAATTAAATATAAGTATAGTCCAATATCCTGTTTCCCAAATCAATCAGACTATTTGTTTTTTTAAAAAAACTGAACAGTTACTGATACGTGCTTATTCTTCCCAAGAGTGCTAGTTTTTATTATTTTCAGGGAGTTTTAAAATGTTTACACATGCAGAGGTTGTGTTTCAATAGAAGAGAATATATGTAGCTCAGGGTTGAACTGTAGAGTCCTTGGGGTTCTCTGAGCTTGGTTGTTTGCTTACTCTTAGCGACCACATAGATAGATTTTCTCCATGACGATCTATCCCTAACCTGTTCTTTCAGGACTCCCAAGGGTGCACTCATAACCACTGTAACTAGGTCCATCCACCTTGCTGCTGATCATCCTCTTCTTCTCTTTCTTTCCACCTTAGCCAGAATTAGAGTCTTTTCCAGAGAGTTGGGTCTTTGTATAATGCAGAATAATTTGAGCCTGGTCATTTGTGCCTCAAGTGAGAACTCTGGGTTGATTTGTTTGATGATCCATTGGTTGGTTTTCTTGGCTGCCCACAGTATTCTCTAGAATCTTCTCCAACACCAAAGTTCAAAGGCGCTGGTACTCTTTCTACCTTGCTTCTTCAAAGTCCAACTTTCGCTTCCATAGAGTATCACAGGGAATACCATGGTTTGCACAATTCTGATCCTTGTAGATATAAACACATCATGGCATTTGAATATCTTTTCTGAGGCCTTCATGGCTGCTCTACCAAGTACTAGTCTGCGGCATATTTCTAGATAGTTTATTCCTTCACTGTTGATGGTTGATCCTAAAAAGTAGAAGCTATCCGCCACTTTGATATCATCATTGCCAATTCTAAGGTCGTTTGTTCTACCTGTTGTCATTAGTTTGGACTTCTGTATATTTAATTTTAATCCCATTCTGTGTTCTTTGACTTTTAGTATTAGGGCTTGGAGATCGTTTGCATTTCCTGCTATCAGGTCATCAGCATAGCACAGATTGTTGATGCTTCTTCCTCCCTTAATATATATTCCGCATATAGGTTGAATAAATAAGGGGAAGGTATGCAGGCTTGTTGCACTCTTTTGCCAATCTGGAGCCAGTCTGTTTTGCCATGTTCTGTCTGTACTGTGGCTTCCTGACCTGTATATAAGATTCTCATGAGGACAATGAGATGTTCTGGGATTCCCATTTTTCTAAGCACTTTCCACAGCTTGACATGAATCAAAGACCTTTGTATAACTGATGAAGCACATACTGACTTGAAACAAATACGATCTCAAAAAAAAAATAATTCCAGAGAAATTGGAAACATTTATGTAATCTAAGTAGAAATGTATCCTGATTAAATATAAAGCTCTCCTGTCATAAGGTACCTATAATATGAAAATAAGATATTTGTAAATGAATTATTATTGTTCAATATATCATTATCAATGTATATGATAATTTAAAGAGTAATTTAAATACAAAAAAAAGTATCAGTCCTTCAGAGCTTACAAGTTTAATATGGACAAAGAAATGGAAAAAGAAAAAAAGGTTAAAAAAAAAGACTGATAAAAAAAATAAGCAAATCCTTGTTTTAAAGAAAACTAACTTGTTTTTCCTTCAAATTAAGTCTCACTGTGAATGCAAAGAACATTTCAGCAACTTCGTACCTGGCCAAGGATGTAGTATGAAAGATATCTGTGCAACCAACAATCCCTGCCATAAAGATGCCGTATGTTCAATCACTGCACCAGGGCAAACTCTGTAAGTACCGGATATTCTGATGCTTTTGGAGGAATTGTGTACTAATCAGAAACTTTGAGAAAGTGAAGGTTTGGGGGGGAAATGCTGGTGAGAGGCCAAAATGCTTACTATTATATCCTTAATATTATTGGCTTTAGATGGAACAAGGAGTTCTGATTTAAACAAATAAGGATTTCTGTGCAGGATCTAGCACTTGTGGGAAAATGAGAAGAGGTGAGGAATAAACATGATGGCGCCTTCTAACACTCCTTCTGGACTTTGCAAACCATGGTTATCTGCTCCATCTTGTTGGTGTTTGCTTCTTCCTAGGGGCCATGGCAACTGTTCAGTTGCCATGGCTCCTGCTCTTTTGAAGTTGCTGATTCTGCGCAGGGCTGCTGTGCCTTAAGGATTTCTGAAGTGAACAGACGGGACAAAGCTTCCTTCTGCAACAACAGTGCATCAAAGCTGGGGAAAATGGCACCTTTGTATAAAGGACTGTAATTTGGAAAACATTAAAGAGAATCAGTTCTGGTTCTTAGCCATGGAATTACTTTAAATTCTTGCAGATAACCCAAGTCTAAAGGTGTACCATACATCTATAACTATCTATTTGTGATTTTGAGTTGAGTCAGGCTTGACTCCTGGCAACTTTCAGGATGAGTCTTTTCTCAGCAACATTTTCAGAAGCGGTTTGCCATTGCCTCCTTTTTAGGGCTGAGAGAGAGTGACTGGCCCAGGTCACCCAGCTGGCTTTGTGCCTAGGTGGGATTAGAACTCACAGTCTTCTGGTTTCTAGCCTGATGCCTTAACTACTACACTAAAATGGCTGTCATAAAATATTTAAGTACAACAAAAATAACATTTTGACTGCATAATTTATTTAATGGATATTAAATTATTAAAATGGAAAAAGCTGAAAACCTGCTTACTTGAAAGTCCTATTAAAATAAATGGGACAGGTTCCAAGCAGATAGGTTTTAGTGAATCTTGCCAGTCAGTCAGTATCAGAATAAATATACTGACCAAGATCAAAAGATCCATGCCATCAGTTCATGAATGTTGTTCTGAATCACATTGCATCTAAAGGTGGACTAAATCCCATGTTAAATACCAAAAGGAGAGTAGAAAAAGTTATTTGTGATGCTTAATAGCTCCTTCTGTACAATTCCTTGAGCGAGTCTAATAAAGCAATTTCATCTGTTACGTTTGTATTTCTTTGCATTTCCTGTGCAGTCATGTCGCAAGCTGGATTAGAATATTGTGTTATTTTGTGTTGCTTAATTGCACTTTTTGTAATACAATGCTGTGTGTTCTTAGGCTGAACAGCAATACATAATACTTTGTCATTTTTGCACAGGTGTATGTGCCAAAAGGGCTATGTAGGTGATGGATTTATTTGCTATGGAAACATCATGGATCAGATTAGAAAGATGAATGCCGAACCTGGAGGATATTGGCAAGGAAATCTGATATTTGCTATAGAACTTTTTGGTGAGTAAATACCAAAAAAGTGATTTTGAAAGGCAAACTTATTTCACATATATAGCTACTTATCAGAAGATTTAGATGAATTTAGATGGATGCTAAAATCTCCTTAAATGTGTGTGTGTGTGTGTGTGTGTGTGTG